TAACAAAACAACAACAATTAGCTCTATTATGTAGCTGAAAATATGATTCAGGTCATTAAGAAAAACAGACTAACCAAGATACTGATCAAGTTCAGACATACTTCCTCCTCCTCCCCCAGAAAAAGCTAATTTCCTTATCTGGAATCTGCTAGACTACATCTAAATTGTAGAGGAATCACTGAGTAAAATAATTTCTTTTGTCCAGAAAACAATTTGCTGAACTCAAACACCAATGGGTTCTTGCATCAAACTAAAATCACATATTTTTGACACTTTCACAAGATTATGGAAAAAAATAATCCTTTAAAATAACAACTTCTGTTGAGATCTGTGAATGCGGAAAGTGCCAAAATCTCCTTGGAGAGTCTGGTAAAAGATTCCTAAACCTTCTAAATACTCCGTAGAGAGGGTAAAATTATTCAGATAACTTTGGTATGATATTCCTAATTTTCAATGTTGTTTTCTAAATCAAACCCAAGCTTCACATCATCATTTAAAGTACATTGAAATTGTAAATTATGCCAGATGCAAAATGATGGGGAAGAGTTTTGATTTTTAGTGAAGTATATATTTCTGTGTCAGTATAGAGACATCAATGTAGCCTTTGGAATAGATAAATAAGATTCACTAACAAGAAGGAAATGGCAACCTTCTCTACTTATTACATTACTTTACTGTTTGCCTGTGGTAAATCCACAGGTGATAATATAAACATGCTTGGTATTAATAATAAAATGGTTTAACATACTTACTTTTTTTTACCTCCCTCTCAATTAATTCATGTCCATACAATCAAAAGACTAACCTAAGGAACTGGTCATCTAAATTTTTTTCAAAATGGCCATTGATTTTGGGTGCCCTACAACGAAAGATAAAATGGAAGCACTCAGCATCTCCACACAGGCCCTAGTCAACATAATTTTTCATGACATAGCGTCCTCTAGAGTATCTCACTTCAAATAAAATATAGTAGTATAAATGACAAAAATTCTGATCACTGATGCAAGTTAAACACTGATTTTGTGTTATGATAATGATTCTACGAGGTGCAGGTTAAGAGGGAAGATCCACAGCTTTTGATACACATGGGAGAGCTCTCAAATTCTGTGAATCAGTCTTCCACTTCTTAAAAAGTTTGCTACATTGTGACAGCTTGATTAAATGGGATGTTCCTCTACCCTGCCTTTCTTCCACTACTATTAGCCCAATAATACCTATATAAACATTTACAATAGTATAGCTTCTTCCATCATACAAATTGAAACAAATACACAAATATAAAGCACAAAGACTGCATGAGGGTTTATAATGGTAATACCAGAAAACAAATAAAAGTAAAAAAACATTAAACAAGTGTACCAGTAAGACATTTTTAAAAGTAGATCAGTCCTTATCAGCAAATAACAGGTTTAGACTCTCTTTTCTAGCTGTAGTCAATAGACAACACTGTTCTTTATCTAACCTAAGCACAGGAAAAACTTCACAGAAGTAAAGCAATTAATAGCTGACTTCAAATATGAGTAAACTGTATTAGTAAAGTTCAGTGGAATTCAGTTTTACATTTAATCCAGACTAATTTATTCAACTCTCATTACCATTAGCAAATTACTGTATAAAGCTTTCGCTTACAAAAAGATAAGTTAGTTCCTTTAGACTATGAAGGAAAATCATCCATCATAAGAATGGGGACTGCAGACTTAATAAAGTCTATTCTGTTAAAAGATAACATTAAAACATGCCTGCTGCAACATGTATTTCTCCTTCTAGGAGAAAAGCTTCTCATATTGCAGAGCTGAGTTTCCATCTTTGTAAGCAGGCTTATAGTTAATTTGATTCATTTTTATCCTATTCTGGGCTTCATATCTGTTTTCATCCTTATGCTTCAGTATTGCTGGAATGAGAACAGCTGTGAATGGGCACGTTACTATCAGCACGTTCTTTGGAGGATCTGTACATGGGGTCTGATAGCAGCCTAAATAGGTCTGCTACTATTCTGAAGAAAGGAAAAATGACAAATTAATAAATCTTCTGTCAGTATTTAGCATTTTATTTTCAGCAACATTTTCCATCTCTGAATTCCATCTCCTTCATTCCATAAAAATGTATTCAAATGGAAGGTAAGTTGAAGTGAAGTTACATTAGGTAATGACTTTTTTTTCAATATATAACTTTAGTTTTTACTCAGAGGTTAAATTGTATTAACACTTCTGAAATCACATCACATGCAGCAACAATAAAATAGTATCTTCTCCTCTGTTCTGTTCCTGTTCTAGGCTCTAGCTTGGTATACTCCAAAGAAAGTTCAGAAGGAGAAGGCAAAGATGATTTTAAGTTGCCTTAATTTCCCTCCAGGCTTAGATACCCAAGCAGAAGTCATCATTGTTGTGAACTAAATTTCCAAGTTACCTACAGACTGCTTTGCACCTTAAGAAAGCACTAAGCCAAGAACTGTTTACCCTCTAGTCCAATAACCAACATAAGAATTCCTATAAAGCTGTAGAAGGCGATTGATGCACTAGGTCTATGCACATCAAATCCCGAAAAAACGGGAATTCCTATAAGTAACATTTGAACAACTTACGTCTTCTGTACATAATATAACAGCAAAGGAATAGGAAAATTGGAATCTAACATTTTATTTTGACCCTTGCTAAGCAATTTTCTGATAAAAGTTTCCATCCAAAAATTAAATTTCTATGTGGAAAGAGAATGGGGAATACAGACTGCAGGATCTCAAAGAAAAAGTCAGTTAAAAATAAGCTGAAACAAAATGACAAACAAAAGTTGTAGTTTTCGTGGGTTGTAACTGCCAGAGACACCAGTCTGTTTATTTAGGATGCACTCTAGTGGACACACATATAACAAAATAAAACAAAGATACAAATGGTACAAAAAGATAGAAAATGAAAGCCACATGTTGAACATAGTAATTAGAATGATTTACTAGCATGTTTTAAAATACTGTTTTATAACTTGAACATATTTCCTAATTAAATATGAACGCTGCGTGAAGGCTGAAATTTTCAGAGTCAACATGACTGGACATAAAATGTAAATGGTCACAAGTTACTTATCAATTTTTGAAAAATTTAATCTAAATAACAAGACTCAGTTATACATACTACTAAGAAGAGAAGCTCCAACTATTTATCCAGTTACTTCATCCCGTTGAGATTGGCACAAGAAGCTGCTGTGCATACAGTGTTAATAGGTATAATTAGAACTGTAGTATCTTAAAATGCGGCCTTAAAATGATTCTACTTAACTGTTACAAATAAATACAATCATAAACTGTCACAAAATTGGTTTACTGTAATATCAACCATAAGGGCATATTCATTCCACAGAAAAGGTTCCTCACTGTCCTAGAAATTGCAAGCCTATACCAATGCAGAATAAACGTAGACAGCAAAGCCTGACCACCTAGTCACAAAAATAGTTCCATTTTTCATTACTTAAAAAGTTACACAAACATTTCTAAGTATTTATACCTGGAAAGTGACATTTTTCTCTTTTGATTTTAAGGATATTAATTAACAGCCTCCAAAAAGCAATATGGCAATAAAGAGGGCAACGGGATTTTCTTTAATAAACATACTTTATTATTTTTAAGGGAAAAATAATATATTACTATACTAGAAATCAATAGTCCTTACCTTTTTAAAAATTTACAGGATTACGCCTAGTATGAACAAGTTATTTAGAGCAGAAAAATATGTATTACCTGATTGACCTTTGCCTGTTGGGTATATAGATATTTTTAACAGTTTGCCAAAGATAACAAACCTCTTAAAACTAGCTATAATATAAACAAATTAAGGTGAAATTATCCCAAAAATCACTTTCATCCCAAAACTGAAGAATGCAGTGAATGCACTAACTATGCACTGAATTTGTAATGAAGAGTATTTTCATCACACAATACTGGCCATGACTTAATGTTAACTGTCCAACTAACCTGTATTACTAGAAGACACTGAGATGCAAAGGCACATTTTAGCCAAGAAGCAGAGGATTTCTTAATGCTGGTGTCTTTTCCATTTATAATGAACAGACAGGGAACATTCTTGACAACCCGTACCAAGATATCACTGATTACAGAAACTTTTTCTTACAAAAATTAATGCAATCTTTAAGGATTATAAAACTTATTTTTATAGATAAATGTCGATCAAGCTAAATATTCTTCCAAAATTTTTTAGAAGTGAAGCTCTGAGAACTGATAATGGTATTTAGTAAAGACAACGCAGATGTAATTTATTGATTTGCCTATTCAAGACAAATGCAGAAAAGATTATTTTAAGACCTAACTAATCAAAACTGATATGCAGACACTTACAGCTCACCTAATATCACACCATAACCAGAAAATTATATTATAAAGCCTAGAGCAAACACCTAGTTTTTCAAAAAGCACCTCATGATTTCTAAGACAGACAAGATCTTTTAGTGCATCTGTCTACTGAGCCACATAAAGTTCAATTTATCTCTTCCAGATAAATTGGAAAATCTTCTGATTTGATTTTTGCACCTAGTTTGATGTGAGAACACTCCATCTTCTAATACATAGAGCATTCTCTCTTTCTATCAGAAACCATTGAAATTCTTGGAAAATCATTTTTCAATAATCTTGTATTCTTTTCATATTCATTCAGATTATCATATTGTAGCCTCTACTCCAAAATAATCTTGACACATTAATTGTATCTATAATTATTATGGTTACACTTCAAGAATCAATGGGCGATAAATAGAAAACATATTTACTGCTTTCATTTCAATTGCAGTTGTCTTCGTCTGAGTCAGCAGTGCTAGCTATAATGGTTTAAGAACAAAAAAAAAGCACCACGTGCCAGAATTAACAGACTTTATGTAAATACCCAGAGAGCACAGAAGCTGAAACAACGGGTATGTAAATCAGCTCTACATATAAAATACATAAATTAAGATATAACATTTCAGGATCAGCAAGTAATGAGTAGAAAATATATTTACTGCTTTCAGATAAGTTGGGAACTTTCTTGTTCTTCTTCTGCCATGAGATCTGCTACACTCTAAAAAGAAAAAAAAAAGAAATTCTATCAGTTGCTAACGTTAACTGAACTTTGTAAAAAGGAAAAAAGAGGAAAAAAGAAAAAAGCCACAACAGACAAGTCAGTATTCATCCATATAATTATGTATTCTTCTGTTCAGTGAAATACGATAAAGTTTATCACCAGACTTATATTATAAAATCCAGCAAATCTGGATAAAATATTATGATTCTGAGAGCAGTATAGTTTCAATGGTACAAGTCTGTATTTTACTTTAATTGATCTGTTCTTAATTTGTAGTTTAATTCAACAAACACATCACTGTAAAACCTGAAATAACATCACCAAGGGCCAATGGAATCCAACTTTAAACAACTTTAGGTACGAAAACTTGGAAGATGGCATACGTAAGAAAAAGAAGGTAAGTTTACTACTCGTTTTCACTTCAGGTTTTGCAATTCACTTATTTAAGAACACATAAAATATGCCTGAAGCCTCAAGAATACTTTTTAATATGTAATTATCAGGAAACTATACAAATTGGGGCTATATGAGATCTTGAGAACTCATCTGACTTACCTTAGTGAAAAAAAACACCTGTGAAAACCTGCCCCTAAGAACAGTCATAAATATGTTCATAACTATATTTAGAGAACACTTATAAAGTAAATTTAAGCATAAAACATATTAATATCACAATATAAATTCTGAGCTAGAATTATACTGCTGATACCAGAAACAGGACATTATTAAGGCTAATAAAGAAAAAAGGGTTCTGATAATGATGTGCTAAAACTAGTATATCAGAATCTCAAGTCATACCACTTGGAATACTCTAACTGCAAAAATTCATGACCAGTGAATACTCATAAAGCTGAGTGATTTTTCAGAAGTTGACAGTATCTGTTAAATGTACTGCCATGCCTTACAATAAATGAAGGCTGATTCATGGCCTTTCATTTCCCTGAACTGTCATATATAAAAGGAATGGGAGGGAGGGAAGGAAGGAAAAAAAAAAAAAGAAAAAAAAAAAGCTGGGCATAGAAGATGTCCGAGGATCAAATATAGAGATATAGCTGTAGTTCTGAAAGCGGTGCGTTTGTGTTGGCATAGTGCTCAGCAGGTCCTAGCTTTACTGAGCAGTGTGTCCTTAGCATCTGGTCTTTTATGTTAAAAGTTTGCTCCGAAATCTCTGCGCAAGAGTGCATTCTGCTGCACAAAAAACATACTTCACTCAACCACAAAAATGTAAGTAACTTCAATCACTCAAAAACAAGTCATCTTTTGTGATTTAGTACATGTTGTATATAACTATATGTTCACATGGCAAAGGAAGGATACCTCCTCTCTGAGAATATTTGTACTTTCGTCTGTGGCACATCTGAATACAAAAGGGCATTTTAAATCTTGAGGATTTAGTCAGCCAACACCACGCAGTCTTTTCAAATGGTTTAACTTGTACCAGAGAATAGGCTATGGGCTGTTTGGAGGTTGTGGCCAGATTACCATCCCTTAAAAGCATAGGGGAGAACCAGCACAGTCTGAACTGCAACAGTTTTAACCTTTGATAGGTCAGCGCACAAAAGCAAATCTGTAAGAATCAATAATTTATAATCTCCTTGTTCTTTCTAAACACTTACCTCAAATTGTCCGTTCTCATCTAGCTCCTCAACTCTAGTCAAATTAGGTGCTCCAGGTCTATCTGTAAGTTCAGCTATCGTCTTTCCATTTTCCTACGGTAATGAAAGCAAGTTTTCAGTTAAAAGTTTTCCATGTCATGAATAAGTATCTATAGACAATATTTCAGATGTGTTAAAATGAAATTATGTATTAATATAAAGATAAGACCTTAGATGCATGCAATACAAATGTGTTAGTATGTGAATATGGTCTTTGTATGCTTGTTAAGACTATTTTTATCCGTTTTTTTCAATAACAGGAATTTTGGTTTAAATTTCTACATACTGATTTTTCCTGTCACTTGCATACTGCCATCTTTCTACAACTATGTTCTGTCAGTATTTTAAGAGTGCTCTACAAACATACATATCTCTAAAATGACTTGCTCCACATAAATTTAAGAGAAATTCACATTTAAAAGCTTTATTGATAAAAACATGCCAATTAATGTATGTTTCTACTGAAATTGCATTAAAAGACCATACATTTACAGACACATTGGTATAAGCAGCCTTCTGTTAGCATAAATTCCTGTGCACCAGGAGGATCTCAGAATCAAGAGGCATCCCAATTCCAAACTACAATTCCTTTTCCAGGTACAGCAAATGGATTTTGCACTGACACTCAGTAAAACGTTAGTGTCTAGACACTTAAATTAGACATGCTTAAGTTATAATACTTTCTCATAAATACGTCGAGTAATGTGAAACATTCAATTAAGATGACCTTATGCTAAATTTTGCAATAAATTTATGGTCTGTTCTGAATATAAACTAAATAAACCTAATAAACAGACCAAAATTCAAGTATAAAACCCAGACTGGAAGCAAGGTGTTAAGACATTCTTCCCCCATTTCCACAATTTTTGAAAAAATTATGTGTTAGTTCAACACCCATGGGCTTCTGCCTTGTCTTTTGTATTTAGTGCCTGCATCTGGAAAAGACAACTGATTAACAGTATTTTCAAACCACTGACTAAGCTTTGGCTTAAACCTCTTGATCTTTCTGCTGCAACAGCATTTCGTTGTCTTCATTCTGCAGTTCCAACTCTTCATGTTCTTGTTCCAACTGACCCTGCAGTCAGTTTAAGAAAGGACAATTAGAAAGAAAAAAAAACCAACAAATCACATTCATCTTCCCCACCCCATTGCTTACAATGTATTTCATGATTGAAATCTTAAAATAAAAAAGGAAGTATAAAATATAACTGCAATGATAATAACATAAAGCCCTTTCAGTATCATCTGACTTAGTATTTTCATAGGTTTTAGACTCACATGGATAGAAGAGAAAAAAGAAAACAGTGAAGTTAGTGCACACACTTAAGATACTGTTTCATTCTGCATGCTCGTTATCGGTCTATATTCATTATCTCCTATACTTTGGATTAAGCTCTTTGATTCTTTGCATAGTATCTAGCACAGACAGATGAATCCACATAGAACCAAATCTACAGAAAAGATTAGTAAGCAATGTCATTAACTTTAACCATCTTTGTCGTCAACCTTTAAAATTTCCAATTGGAAATAGCTAATACAAAAGTGTTCATTCTTTGTGAGCCTAAGTCCTAATGCATCAAAACTTCAGAAACCGCAAAATCTAAATGCTCACATTCAAGAGCATTTGGGCCTACAGAATACTGTGTGCTGTAGCATTTTGTGAGCAGTTACTACAAATATGGTCATATTGTAGTAATTATTTTTCACATTCCTTTTTGGTATGTATAATCGAAACACGCCTGAGTATATGACTATAGCCAAAATTGTGAGTTAGGTTAAAAATGTGTACTAATGTGAGTATTGTTTCACATCTTTCACATAGTTTACATGAGATAATTTATTTAATTGTCTGTGAATTATCTCTAGACACAATCTTATATTCTTGATTCCATTTACTGCCTTAAATCACAGAATCACAGAATGATCAGGGTTGGAAGGGACCTCTGGAGATCATCTAGTCCAACCCCCCTGCCAGAGCAGGGTCATCTACAACAGGTTGCACAGGACGGCGTCCAGGCAGGTTTGGAATGTCTCCAGAGTGGGAGACTCCACAACCTCTCTGGGCTACCCTCAAAGTAAAGAAGTTCCTCCTCATGTTAAGATGGAACTTCCTATGTTCAAGTTTGTGCCTGTTACCTCTCGTCCTGTCACTGGGCACCACTGAAAAAAGACTGTTCCCATCCCCCTGGCACCCTCCCTTTAAGTATTTGTAAGTATTAATAAGATCCCCCCTCAATCTTCTTTTCTTTAGACTAAAGAGACCCAAGTCCCTCAGCCTTTCCTCATATGAGAGATGTTCTAATCCCCTCATCATCTTTGTAGCCCTTTGCTGGACCCTCTCCAGCAGATCCCTGTCTTTCTTGAATTGGGGAGCCCAGAACTGGACACAGTACTCCAGACGTGGCCTCACCAGGGCAGAGTAGAGGGGGAGAATGACCTCCCTCGACCTGCTGGCCACACTCCTCTTGATGCACCCCAGGATGCCATTTGTCTTCTTGGCCGACAGGGCACATTGCTGGCTCATGGTCATCCTGTTGTCCACCAGGACTCCCAGTTCCCTCTCTGCAGAGCTGCTCTCCAGGAGGTCAGCCCCCAACCTGTATTGATGCCACAGCATCATATACTATTTATAATTACGTCTATTATTAAGTATTATTAACCTGACGTTGTTCTTCAAGTTTCTGCTGGATCATTAGCTCTTCTTCCTTCATTTTTCTTAACATTTCAAGTTCTACCAGGGCCGCCTCCCGTTCTTGTTCTAGCTCAATCCTCTCCAACATTCTCTATTTCAGAGGTAACACAGAATCAATTAAAAAAAGAAAGAAAGAATAAATAGCATCAATTATATTTTCATGAAATCTTTTGCCCAAGATGCATCCACCTTTTTTTCTTCATCTAAGATTCTTCTGTAATTGTAAATCCAATGTGCCAGATACTCTATCGGATCTGCTGGCCGATGCTCTACAACTTCTGCCAGTCCTTTTTTCAAGCAATTTCCCAGACATCTCTTCAGATACTGAGACTCCATTCACATCTACTAACAACAAACAGGCAGATATTAGCCATCAATGTAAGAATTAAATAGGCACCAAATACTGGACATGACATTACTCTTTTTATTAACCTGGCAACTAATAGAAGAAAGTTATTTCAATTTAATATTGGTTTAGTTCTTAAAAGCTCCGGTGATAGATCCGTTATACTAAGCTCTGCAGAAAAATGCTCAAAACCCCCTTCACTGTTTAGGCACGTATAATTCAGAAACTGCTTGGAAATGTGTGTAATTCTAGGTCAGCATGATAGCAAAAAAACCTCAAAACCAAACAGGACATAGAAAGCTTCTATACAGATATTTGAAGAACAGCAAAGTAATTCTGTGAATGATTAAGGATAGATTTTAGTTTGAACTAACAAAGCTATCTTTAGGATACGTATGCAAGAAGGGGGCCTGAAGCAATCACTCTATGCAGTTCTGAAAGGAACACATCTCTGTGCATACACAAGATCTTACTGGCCCTGTGCCAGTAAACACATAACACATCTGAAACTCGGTTTCTGCAACGCTGAAACACCTCCGTTCGCCGTCAACGGGACGGAACCGGGCTCCTGCAGCGCCGGCCCCGAGGAGGCAACGGACCCCCCGCTCGAACGGCGCCCGTTGAGCAGCGGGTCCCCCTCACCTCAGCGCCACACGGCCCGCCGGCGGCGGAGAGACAGGCAGGGAGAGCGTTTCACGCCCGCGGATGTAAAAACCCCTCTCAGCCTTCGCGTTCACCCCGGTTCCTGAGGTGGCGGGCCCGGAGCTCGCTGTCAGGGCGCTACTGCACCTTAATTGTCCTGACCACTTTCACCTGAAGCCTCCGCCCACGCCCTCCGTTTTCGGGCTCCATTTAAGCGCAGGCGGGGGCCGTGAGCCCTCCCCCGAGCTGCACGCCGGGCGGGCCGGCTCCTAGCCCTGCTCCTGTGGCGCTGTTCGGATCTCCTGGGTGGACCTGGCACGTTACCCTGCTTCGCCCGGTGCTCCGTGGGCTGTCGCTAGGAGCCGGTGCTGTCGCCGCCCTGCCTCTGGCGCCGTGGGACTGCCGCTGAGGTAATTACCCGGCCTGCGCTGTGGCCGCCCCCGGCTCCCCCCGCTCCCCTTCCCTCAGAGAGCAGCCCCGGTGCGGCAGCCTCCACCGCACGCCCGCTCGCTCCTACCGACCGCCTGTCTCCGGCCTGGCGGCTACCAGCCGCCCCACCACCCGCTCCAACGCCGTAACGGCGCCCCACGCAGAGAGGCGCGCGTCGCCTCACAACGCGCCGGGTCGCTACGCGACGCCGCTCGCGAGCGCACCGTGACCTCTTACGTATAGCGGCAAGCGGCCCGCGATTGGAGGAAGGTGCCGGGTGGGCGGTGCCAGCCCGGGCTGTCCGTCCCGGGGGGAGTCAGTCACGGCAGCGGGGTCTCCGCCACCGTCGGTGTGGTCTGTTGCGGGACCGGCTCGTTTCAACCGCGTTTAACGCCGTCTGCCGTCTCTCCGTGAACGGCTTCCTCACGGAAGGGGTTCGCACAAAAGCGGGAAACGTCTTTAATCAGTCCTGATGCGACACACTGGCAACGTACGGGTCCTTCCTCTTCAGAAAATATATAGTTTTATGTGTGTGTATAAGTACATACACACCCGCAGACAAAGGCTAGAAGGCAATTTCGGAAAGAAAACGCCCGTGGGATTTTAGCGTAAGGAACCTGAGCCAACGCCGAACGGGGGTTTTGTACCCGGGCACCGTGTGGAACAACGCTGCGGCCTCCCGCGCGTGCGGTCAGCCGTCAGCCGCCCGGCATTAGGGCAGGGCCACCCCCCCTCCTCACTGACAAACGCCCCAAACTTGGCCGTCTGCTTGTTTTACTGCCAGCTTTGAATCGTTATTAACACACACCGCAAATAACTGCAGCGGGAAGAACGACCGCGGCGTCTGTATTAATTCTGAAGCTCAACTGCAGTAACGCTATCTCGGTCTTTCCCCGTTAGAAACGGAAGGCCGCAGAACGACGTCTGTGGGGAATGAAAGGCCGCACCGGAGTGACGGAGCATACCGCTGACGACGCTGACCGCTGAAAGGTGAGGGGTTTCAGTTATTTCCTATCGATACGCGACGGGTGGAGCAGTCACGGGCCGGGAGCGGGTACTGCTGCTCCGGCCAGAGGATGTCGCTGGCGCTCTGCGAATAGGCTTCACGGGGCGGCAGAGGCGCAGCCGCCTTTCCCCCTGGAG